TGCTATTTTGTAACATAACCTCCCCCCATGCAACGGTCCCAGATTGCTCTTCGTAGTCTCCCTCAGTCGTTCTACTCTTGAAAACCCCTCTTGTCTTCAAACGGATTGCGTCCCCAGCTTCAATACGCGTCGCCGTTGCTTGTACTTTACAGAACGGAGCGTCTGGTGGCGTTGCGAGATGGCGGCAGCGTGAAGACGAGGAGGGGAAGGAAGTAGAGAACAGGGCTTGCTTCCTTGCTGGAATCCCTGCTAGTTACATAGATTTGGAAAGATGCTTGCCGTGACCGGCGTAGGGAGGCTGAAACCATGCAGCATGACAGGCGTCGACGGCCACGTCGAGAGGAAGGTATCCCGTAGAACAGGATTTACCTGTCGTGGGAGCCTCGTGGTCGATGGGACACTTTGAGTGCGGGAAAGCGCTGTCATGGGTGGAGAAGTCCGCAAAGCAAGGAGTGCTGAGACGTGGCAGCAGCGGCGGGACAGCAACGATGACGAAGACCATTGATACGGTCCTCGTAGCTCTTCTGGAATATTGGCTCTTCGAAAATAGAGTTGCCATGGCACTTGAACGCCGGGAGAAAGTCGTCGTCGGTGTAGAAGGGGGGGTGGGGTAGGTGAGCGGGCTTCAGACGACGAAGAGGAGAACCGTAACCACGGTCCCCGTAGTGGCCCTTGGTGGTAATACTGCTGTTCCACTCATCGTCGCTGCGCTTGAGGCCGGAAAAGGGTCGTAGTCGCCGTGAGAAGCGAGGAAGGGAGTAATACCGTGAAAAAGTCGTCGGCGGCATCAAGACGACGTCGACGACAACCAATCTAAGTATAAATTTCATAGCCTAGATAATAGTCGTGGAGAGACGTCATTCCCTGGACACTTGAAGCTCCAGAGAAGTCGCCGTCGCCGTTAGAGGCAAGGAGGATGTTACTGGGGGAGACGGCGGCGACACTGCGACGACGATGGGCTTATCGACAGTCTGCGGCGCAGCCGCTGCACCTCCGAAAGGTTTTGACATCGTCACCGCTGTGCCGGACGCGCTGCAGAAGTCGTGGTGGGTGAAACTGGGGAAAGTGAGGGAATCAGCGGTAGCGGCCAGCAAAGGACATAGACGGGGACTCTAAAACCGGTCCTCGCCGTGTCTTCCAGTGGTCCTGCTGCAGTATATACTGCAGACGTGGTACTGGGAGTTGAGGAGAAAAGTCGTCGCTGACTTTGAAGTGGGGTGCAGTGCCGGGGGAGTCGTCCTGAATTCGCGGGGGAACGGCGAGCCTGGTGGGCATGGGGGAGGGTCGACGACATCCATAGGAGGTTCCTTCCTTGCTGTAAATGAGCTTGTGAAGATCCTATGAAAATCCGTCAGCTGTAGCAATAAAAAAGAGATGTGCACGCACCAAAAATCCCAATCAACACCCACGTCGATTTCGTACTCCTGCAGCCTCACGGGCATCAAAAAACACATGCCAGGTCTAACCTGACATGCTCCCAATCTTGCAGTGAGCTCGCCTCGTCGCCAGAGAGCGAGGCGACGCGACGGAGGGTCATGGTAAGTGGCAAGTGGCAATCTTCCCGGACCTGCCAAATTGGGCGTCATACCCACGTGGCTGTTTGCCGTTTTTCTGCCGGTGATCTCGCGATGCAAGATCATGATGCGACGGCTCCCTCCCGGTGAGCAGCAAAGCACATGGCTCAGCGGAGATGTGGTCACGGTCCTGCACCCACGATAGGAGGGTGAACCTCCTTGAATAAGACGACGAGGGACTTGGCAATGGTCTACAACACTGCCATTGTTCCTCAAGAGGGTGGTGAAATCGTCTCCGGAGAACCGAACGCCCTGCAGACATGGCCCGTCGTTGTTTCGCGTTACTGGGGGAAGACGGAGAATCGACGACGGCGGCGAGTGAAGGACAAACGTGGGGACTGTAAAAATGGACCATGACGTGTCTTCCAGTCCTCCTGCTGCAATGTAAACCACAGCCGCGGTGCTAGGAATGCAGGAAAACAATCGTCGTTGGATTCTCAATCTGGAGTGCCACGAGAGGCGTTGAGTCGTCGAGGGGTAACGGCGAGCCTTGTAACAATTGGGGAGTATCTGCAACGTTGCTGGGAGGTTCCTACTTCACTGGGAATGAGAATATAACGATCCTAAGAGAACTTGTCAGCCATAGTAGTAAAAAAGAGTGAATTCACACACCAAGACACCAAATCGACCCCCACGTCAATTTTGCAGTTCTACCGCCCCACAGGTACTGCCAAACCCATGCCAGGTACCACCTGACATCATCCCAAGGTCCTACTAGCTCGCCCGACCATCTCAGAGCGAGACGGCGGGAGCGAGGGCCATGGTTAGTGCGAAGTGGCAAATTACCTGGACCTGCCAATTTCAATTTGGGCACAGATCGCGTCACGTGGTACACTTTGCCGATCGTTGCCGGTGATTTCGTGATGTAACTGCAGTTATGCGTCTGCTCTCTCCTAGCCCGTTGAAATCTAGACGTTTGGAGAGACCGCGACAGCGGTGCTATACCACGCATGGGATGGGCCACCTCCTCGCACGGGGATGCCCGCATCACAGGTCATGGAGGTAGTGGTCTCGATGCGTGGTACAGTACCCAGACACGCAACGTCTACCTCCACCTGCATGCGTGCAAGCAAGAGTGGGATGCAGAGGTGTCATGCCGTGGTACTGTACCACCGTATGTGATCCATGAGTGACACGCTATCGATCTCACCAGCCGTTGGACGCTGCCCACCAGTACGGCGGTCTGGTACCCCACCCCCGTGAGTTCTGGGATGCGATCGCAGGTCAGTCTCACTCCTCTCACCCTCTCCTGGCCGTAGATTCTAACCCTATTCTAGGATTGCGGTCCTCTAATGATCGCCTGATGAGCAGAATCCGTACCGCCTAACCATTACCGGGTTTCTACAAAATAATGAGAATCGATCGAACTTTTTTTCGGCTGCCCAATATAGTAATTCCCCATCTTGGATTCCACCAAATGCATAAGCACTGCGAATTATACCTTCCTGACGTACAACTGGGCTATATTCCTCCGAATTATCCATCAAAGGCTCTGATATCACCACCCAGGCCTTTGGTTTGTGATCCTCGTGAATCCGCTAATCTGGTCTGTCAAATCCCAAATCAGCGGTATTTTCTTCATCACTGCAGGCTCCATTGCATGACTTGATGACACCAAAACATTGTGTACTGCTTCTGGAATCAATTCTAAACTGTTTATTCTATCATTACTGTTGCTCTTGGTGTTGAGTCGCTGTTGAAAGAAAACCGGTACCTATGAATTACTATATTGGGCAGCCGAAAAAAAGTTCGATTGATTCTCATTATTTTGTAGAAACCCGGTAAGTCAGTCCCCCCCATAATAAAGTAAAATATTGACATTGGTCACGAACACGAGATTGCTGAAACAAACATTTGCTCATTTCAAACACCGTCCTTGTATCCAAAAACGAGTAGGTAAAACTACACAATCCACTATGGTTAGAGATGTACAAGTGAGTATAAAAAATCCATGCACAAGTCCTGAAAAGAAAGACAAGAACTAGTCACCGCTCAGCGGACTCCTTTTCGACTAGGCAGCTCCAGGCGGAAGAGGCGAGGGCATGATAGCCCTAAAAGGATCCTCCTCGATGCTCGGCTCTCGAGAATGCCTACTCGCCTCACGTGGTGGTGGCCAGACCTCTTCACGGAACATGCTCCCCGAGTCACCACGGACAAGCGAAGCTGTCGAGTAATTCGAAGGTTCGGAAGGCGGAGGAGAGGGAGGCGGAACAGATCGAGGCACTGACACGGGCGCGTTCGGCAGATCCCGATACCTCGTTGTATCCTCAAACTCGTCGTCGAGCAGTCCAACGGCACCTGCGCCCTTGCCTTCCCGCCTGATGCGCTTGATAGTCTCCATGAACCCGATGCGCCGTTTCTGGGCGCGTTTGTAGATGAAGACGGCACCGAGAGCAAGAGCGGCGAGGACGACAGCGGCGGCGGTGACGCCAGCAATGAGGGCCGTGCGGTTGACGTTACTCGAGCCCGAATCGGAGGTGGCGAGCGACGTGGGCATGTTCGTGGTATACGTGGTGAGCTGGCCAGATATGGAGGTAACAATCGTGGTGAGAGAAGTCGTGCTTGAATCGGAGGAGGTCGTGGTGGTAGACGGCGAAGGGGTGGTGGTCTCTGTTTGGGAGGTGGTAGACGGCGCTGACGACGTGGTGGTGGTGGGTGGGAGTGATATCGTCGAGGTAATGGTGGCCACCGTGGACGTAGTAGACGGCGGTACGGAAGTCGTGGAGAACGTTGAGCTCGACGTCGACGTTGAAAAGGACGACTCGCTGCTGCTGCTAGTCGTTCTGGAAAAATGTCAGCTAAACTCGAAAGAAGATGCGTCAGCGACATACATGATTGCCGTCGATGACGTAGAGGAGATCGTCGAACTCTCCGACGTCAAGCTAGTCGACGAAGCACTCGTGCTTATGGATGTGCTCCCGCTTGTGTCGCTCGGTGGGGGTGTCGACGGCCCAGCACTTCCTCCTGAACCCGTGGCACTCGTATCAGGAAGAGCTGCTCCAGTACCATCCGTAGCCGAAACCTGTCCTGCGACTCCAGAATTTCCCTACATTTCATCAGCAAAAAATCTCCGTTGCATCTTTTCATCACGACGTACAGAGGTGGCTTGACCAGCGCTAGAGTCGCTAGCAGGGCCCTGACGAGGGCGCAGTTGGCGCTTAAGAGCCATTAATGTCGTATGGAATGATCGAGACGAGGCATGCACTAAGACAGAAAGGAGAAAAGGAGCGAAAGGAAGTGAAACAAGGAAAAGTTGAAGGCGTGCTGAGATCGAGTACTGCCACACGGCATTTGCCGAGACATACGTCATTCCGTAACCAGCCTTGCCTCGTGGGCCGTAACACACGAAGAGCGTTCAAAGCCAGAGTTGTCGTCACATCACCGTCGTATGCGCAATCGTCACTAGCTACGACATGAAGGACCAGGAGGAATAACCATAGATGGGATGGCTAGAGAACCAGAGGAACAGGCGTAAGAAAAGGTATGATACCATGCATCATAACCGCCGGATATTGTGCTTCATCTCTATCCTTACAATAATATGTTATAATATGTTCCACTACCTCTTCAAAAGAGAACGTACTTTGACGAAGAGCCTACTAATCCGATGATATATTCTTCTTTAACCAATCCTTCAAATCATCCATCTCCTGCATGTCCACAGAATGTCCCATTCCTTCGTAGACATAGTACGAAATTCCTCCAACTTCATCTGTACTATCCCTGAGCACGAATCCTGCGGCCTTCAGCGCATCCACGCACTTTCTGTTCGTTTGCAGGCCTATCACCTTGTCGTCCGTCCCATGCGCAATGAACATGGGTATATCCTTCGCATCTGGAGCTATGTTCTGCATATTATTAGCAGTGTACAAAAGCTCTCCGGTAGAAGACGCACTTCGATTAACTTCTCTGGAATCAGCATCCTTCCGCTGAGCATCACTACGCCAGAGAGTTTCAAGTCCCTCTTGGTGGCGCCGATAAAAAGTGACATATTCGCTCCTTGGCTGAACCCGCCTAGTACAACCCTCTTCTCTCCCCCTTCTTGTGCTTGACGAACAATGTTACACAGTGGTTCTACTGATTCCAAGATCCCCTCCTCGTCATCTGGACCCAACCTACTGTCGTACCTTTGAAAACACTCAACTTAGAGCTTAGGCGATTGGTTCATAAGCAAGCGCCTACCAAGCTGGTACTACTCGTCCACCGAGACGAGTACTCGGTCGGAGGGAGCTAGAAATACATTACTTCGGTATCACTGTATAACAAGAAAGCAGAAGGAAACGTACGCCTGAGGCATCAACCACTTGATGTGATCCAATCCCGGATCAGTGGCAAGGTCTTCCGCGATAGTTTTCATCTCGTTCGCATTGCTTCCCAATCCCTGAACGTCGCGTCACTTTCATGACTTGTTACGAAAATGAAGAAAAATAGTTCATACATGGATAAGAATCACGGTCGCGCTGTGATTGGACTTGGCTGGGATCGTAATGAACTCTGGGACTTGAGACATGTCTGAAAAGGGAAACTGATCAGCATAGGCCATCCGAATATGAAGCGGTAAGGACGTGCCAGTCAGAATAGAGAGCGAAGATCGTGGTTAATGAATAAGACGGATTAGATCACATGACGATCCCACAGCGGTATTTCTGTCGAGGTTGGAGGATCAACGTAACGCTCACACAGCATTCGAATCTAACCCGAAGTCGATATATTCTTTAGTACTTGTAAGCCCTCAATTATACAGCATAAATCATTCTAGCGCCTATATATAAATCCATGTTTTAGAGGAACTGAAGACTCGAATTTAAGCTTTGACCGTGATACATCCTTCAAGAAGCAAACGGAAAATCAATAGACGATCTCGCCAAGCATTACGGACTGCCCCTCAGTCAACGAACAGTACAATAAGAATGACCGACAATTTATCCGGTCAATCATCTGTCGGCAAAGAAAGTAGCATACA